GTTAAAACACATTCCACATACATGGGCATCCCAATTAAGAATCATGTTGCGCTGACATAAATGATAAGACATAAACTTTAACATAATGACACGTGTCGTTATTTTTTCGCGATACACATCACATCAATTTTAAAATCAACATGCATTAAAGTAATTTTGTTACACAATTAAACACTAAATATGTTTGCTTTGACGCGATTGACATTAACGACCACGTGACGTAATCAACCACGTCATTCTTTATGTCAATCTATTATGTCTAACTACTTTATTCCCCAATTATACACTAAATATATTTGGCGGAAGGGCATTCACAATATTTTCTATTAAAAAAGAATTACATGCCATGCAAAAAATAGATCCAGTGTAAAAAAAAAAAAGTTTTCCGATGCAAGTGAAAATGAACTGAGTCCAACTAATGTAACACTAAAAAAAAAGGAAGAGACTTAATGCATTTAAATCTATTTTAGACATTCAGCCTTTTTGCAGTGAAAAATTTATTCATGTTATCCAATACTGAATTCGTAATTTACACAGCACAAAACACATTAGACTCGAAGACAGCCCGGCTCTAGGGGAAGGCAGCCTAGGCATGGGCCTAGGGCCTCCGTTATTTTGGGCCTCTTTTTTTATGTATTTGTGTTGGGTTTTGTTTATCTACACAAATGAGGCCTCATTATTTTTTTCATATTATGTATATCTGTGTTAGATTTTGTCTATTTACACAATATTTATACAAATAAGGGGATAATGACAAAATATATAATTTGGGTGGAAAATTGAGGCTCTAAATATTTCATTTACTTTCGTATGATGTTCGGTCAGAACAAGTTGTGTGAGAATAAATATTCTTTGTAGTGATATGATTTTCATTTTCTTCTCTTTGTTGTCCTCGTGATTGGTTGAATGTAATTTATTAAAGATCTTTGTAACTCGGAGGTAATTTATCAATTCCAAGTTCAAGAAAAACAAGGAAAAAATAGTTTTAAGCCTCATCCTTGGAAGCATAAAACACCACCCAAAACTCTAACTATGAGTTGTAA